ATGGTCGGCCTACAGATATAAATCAACCATGCATCACTCTACTGGTGAACTGAATTAATGAGAAGTGTGTGTGTCTGTGTGTGTGTGTGTGTGTGTGTGTGTGTGTGTGTGTGTCTCTGTGTGTGTGTGTGTGTGTGTCTCTGTGTGTGTGTGTGTCTCTGTGTGTATCTCTGTGTCCGTGCCTGTGTGTGTGTGTGTGTGTGTGACTGTGTGTGTGTGTTTGTTTGTGTCTGTGTGTGTTTGTCCGTGTGTGTGTGTGTGTGTTTGTCCGTCTGTGTGTGTCTCTGTGTCCGTGCCTGTGTGTGTCTGTGTCCGTGACTGTGTGTGTTTGTGTGTGTGTGTCTCTGTGTGTGTCTGTCTGTGTGTGTCCATGTCTGTGTGTGTCCGTGTCTGTGTGTCCCTGTGTCCGTGACTCTGTGTGTCTGTCTGTCTGTGCATCCCTGTGTGTGTGTGTGTGTCTGTGTGTGTGTCATGCAGGAGGTCCGTTCCCCCCGGTTCCTCTCCTCAGAGATGGAGCCCCTCTTCGTGGAGGAGCTGCGGTCTTCAGTGAACCTGCTGATGGCCAACCTGGAGAGTCTGCCAGTCTCTAAGGGGGGGCCGGACTTCAAGCAGAAGCTCAAACGCTCCAACATGAACAACTCCTTCCTGGACATGGACGAGGGGGACGTCCTGTCGAAGTCCGACGTGGTGCTGTCCTTCACTCTGGAGGTGTGTGTGTGTCTGTGGTGTGTGTGTGGTGTGTGTACTTGTTATTGTATATGGCAATGTTGTATGTTTTAATTACATGTGAAAGCTTAAATAGTTTCCTTAGAAAGCAAAATATATTGAACATGATTTCCACCATTTTGTATCAATATCAGATTTTTTACTAATAGATTATCTTGGCCAAAAAAAACCTGGTAGTTATATAGCGCAATATCTCAAGAAAATAAAAATATATTGTTTCCATCATTCAAATTCATCTCTAAGCTGGATTTATGTGCGTTTTGTATTTTTTGGCAATCAAATACACTTAAGAAATCAATCATGACATATTGAACATTTCAGAGATCTATTTGATCCTTTTTTGTTCATCCTTAAGGCTGTCACCATATTAGACTTTCATGAAAACTAGTTCTGTCAAAAATAATTCACAATAAAGCCTTAATTACAATGTTTGAACAAAAAGAAAATCTATCAGTTAAATGAATTTGTAATGCTGTTCATTGTGCGTTTAGCCTCAACTTCGCAAATAAATTAACCTTAACATACAAGAGTAGAGGGGTGGAGAAAGAGCCTATATTCCATATAACACCCCTGTTAACCCTTCTAAGTGTTTGTAATTTTCACTTTATTCTGAAATATCATATAATAATAGGTTCTATTATTAATTTGTAATTGTTAGAACTACCATACAGCATTTAACTGAATATATTGTGTTTGCTGATAGTTGTTCAGATGGAAACATGTATTTAAAGAGTCGTCGTGGTTTCCTCTCTGGTGTTTTTTGCAGATAGTGATCGTGGAGGTTCTGGGTCTGAAGTCTGTGGCCCCAAACCGCATCGTGTACTGCACCATGGAGGTGGAGGGGGGGGAGAAGCTGCAGACTGACCAGGCGGAGGCCTCCAGACCGCAGTGAGTCAAACCTCCCACTGTTTCTGATCCATTCACAGGGTCTGATACCAACTTACAGACCTGATGTGGCTGTCATCACATGGAGAAAAGAGGTGTGATGTCATTAAATCACTTTTGTATACACACTGAGATTTATGGTGAGTGCAGAGAAAGCTCCTCAGCAGATTATTGAGAAAACAAACTGTGCACTTCGACCATTCTGCACAGTTAAGGTCAAACATTCAAGGGAAGCAGCAAGTAAAACACATTTTTAAATGTTTAAGCGGCAGCATTGTCAGTGTGTTTTGAATAGATCTGTTAACACGGTTTCCTGATTCAAATCAAGTGAACAAACCAGGTATGTGACATCATCACCGTGCCTATGTCAACCACCTCCCCCCCCTTTCAAGACACCATCTGCGGTCACCGAAGCCTGATAAGAATATGTGTGTACAAAACGCACCAAACTCTTACTGATATGTGCTGGGTCCAGGCTCAAGGGCGTATGGCAGTCTCAACTCTTTCCAGGACATGCCGGGGCCCTGCCTGCCAGTAGCTTTGCCGATATCTGTGTTGATAGGTAATAGATTGAGAGCTGTGAATCAGCTTAGAAACCGGAAGTGCTCAAACGTTTGTGTGAGTTTATCAAATGTAGCAGTGACTCCATGTCAGCCACAGCTTGTCACAAACAATCTGACTGATAGTGTATTTAACAAAGTTAAACTAGCTTTATTAAATGTCAGGTCATAGGCAGGAAAAACGTTTTTTTATCACTGAGCACAATCTCGATTTTATGTTTTTAACGGAAACTTGGATTGAACAAAATAACAGTGCAGCTGTTCTTATCGAATCAACCCCTCCCAACTCTAGTTTTATGAGTCAGGAAAGAATGCATAAGAAAGGGGGTGGAGTTGCTATTTTGTTCAATGATTCCATTCAATGCAGGAAGACATCTTATGGGAACTTTGCTTCTTTTGAATATGTGGCCCTTCAGCTGAAATGCTCCTCTCGAGCTCTGTTCCCTAAA